CACAATAAATTATATGCAATATACTTGGTAAGCCTTATTTATGGAAAACATGTTGCCGCCATATTGGATTCCAAAATAGCGACTGGAATGTATATCTGACCTTTACACGTCGTCCCTTTTCGGAAATTCCTACATTGTAGGATATTTGACAGTTTTTCTTAAAACCGATGGCCGCCATCTTGGTTTTTAAAATGACGTCTGGCATCGGTTTCCGGCCTCTACACGTCCGGAAACACCCATATTGTAAGGTATTTGACAGTTTTTATTGAACCAATGGCCGTCATCTTGAATTTCAAAATGGCACCTGGCATTGATTTTCGGCCTCTACACGTCGTTTTCTTTCCGGAAATACTCATATTGTAGAGTAATTGATAATTTTTCTTGACCCGATGACCGTCATCTTGGATTACAAAATGGCATCTGAAATCGATTTCCGGTCTCTACATGTCATCTCCTATCCGAAAATACCCATGTTGTAGGGTATTTGACAGTTTTTCTTGAACCGATGGCAACCATCTTGGATTCCAAAATGGCGTCTGACATCGATTTCCGGCTTCTACACGTCGTTCTCTATCCGGAAATACCCGTATTATAGGGTATTTGACAGTTTTTCTTGACCCGATGGCCGCCATCTTGGATTCCAAAATGGCATCTGACATCGATTTCCGGCCTCTACACGTCATCCTTTTTCCGGTTCCTGATCTCACATTGCACAGCAACATCTTATATGGACAAGCTTTGGAGTCATAACATATTAAGGAAGTTCATGTGCACACTAGCGCTGCGTAGTGTGAGGGTTCTGAAATAATATGACCATCATCCGAAAGGACTTAGTGACCTGAACAACTTTTCTCAAGACAGTAACCTTCTATATGACCAGGTTCTCGAGATACAGCTTATACAGAAAATTCACTTGCACACTAGCGCCGCGTAGTGAGCGTGTTCTGAACTAATATGAAAATCATCCGAAAGGACTTGCTCACCTGCACAACTTTGCTGAAAACAGCACTTTTCTATATGGCCAGGTTCTCGAGATACAGTTTATATAAGAATTGCACATGCACACTAGCGCTGCGTAGTGAGCGAGTTCTGAACTAATATGGCCACCATCCGAAAGGACTTGGTCACTTGAACAACTTTGCTGAAGACAGTAACTTTCTATATGGTCAGGATCACGAAATATTCTATGTTGGAAATATGATCCATATATTATAGTTGGTCAAACCCAGTACAGCAACTTTGTCGAAGACAGTATAGCTTTATGTATTGAAACAAATGAGATAATCCACTACAGCCCCCATTAGTGAAAATCCCATAAGCTGTGGGTATCCTTATTCGCGGTTCCTTATTCACGCCCCCGTTACCCCGGCAATAAGGATTCCTGACTGTATTTCCCACTTTTTATGAAAACGGCAGCCACCATATTGGATTTCAAAAAGGTGTCGGATATCGATTTTCGGCCTCTAGAAATCACCCCGATTCCAAAAATACCCATATTGATGGTTATTTGACAGTATTTCTTATTTTTCAAGAAACTGGAAGCTGGATATCAAAATGGCATCGGATATAAATTTCCGGGCTCTGAACACCCGTCTGGTTCCAAAAATTCCCATAGTGATGGATATTTGACAGTATTTTCCACTTTTTATGGACCCGGAAGCCACCAAATTGGATTTCAAAAAGGCGTCGGATATCAATTTCCAGACTCCGGACATCACCGCGATTCCAAAAATCCTATATTGATGGGTATTTGACAGTATTTCCCACTTTTCAAAAACCGGAAGCCGCCACCTTGAATTTCAAAATGGCATCTGATATCAATTTATGGAGTCTAGATCGGGTGATTTCCAAAAGTACTCATATTGATGGATACATATTTGATATCAAACATCCCTATTCTAAAAAAACTGCTAGGAGTACTCCGGATTCTATCCGGAATAATGGATAATATCCAAGTTAAAATTATCCGGATAATTGTGTACTTTGATATTATCCGGAGGGAAATAAATGTGCATAGGGATAAACTCCGTTGATTTCTATTCACTGGATTGGTCTATCCGGATAATTATATTATCCATGTCTATCCGGATAATTTTGAAGCCTAGTTCGTTTTTGTGTCAATAAACCTGGAGAACTGTGAGATTTGGACGTATTTGATTTTGTAACCAAACACGTGAATCACCGATTTCTCGCAAATAATAGTTCAATCTCACAAGGAGACAATACCAAATGATATAAGAATCATTCCTCTACCTGATTGTGGTGTATGCTTTCGAGGTTGAAAATTTATTTGTGAGAAATCGGTGATTGGCCTGTTTTGTTACAAAAGTAAATACGTCCAAATCTCAAAGTTCTCCAGATTTGATAACACAAACACGAAGCTGACGATCATCAAAACAACAACAATCATTACTTGTTGTCTGTGTCACATTCAGTCTTGACGTCTCATCATCTAGTCACTCAGTCGACACTCAGGTTCCGAATGTCAGATATGAACGCCACTCTTTCGAGGAATTGTCAGATAGCTCAACAAGTATGGCGGGGCTTGGTGTGGTGAGTGTCATCATCGGTGAGATTCGTTTAATTATGCTCTGATCTTTTCCTTTGGCTACGTACGCTCTCGTGACAATCGTGAGATTTTGCAACTTTGAATTATAGCCTACTAAGACTGCAGTCGGCTACAGTACAGTCAATTGTAGAAAAACGGCTCATAAAGCACAAGTTTAAAAGTTATGTCACTGAATTTTTGGCAACTCACTCAGTATAAATTTATCAATTATTGGCTCAGTGTTGGGAATATTTGGTTGTGTATACAACAAGTTAGAGCAATTTAAGAAAAACTAAATTTATTGAAAAACCTTATTTTCTTGAAATAAAATGAACATAACTTTTTGAAATTTTGCTCATTTTTAGTCGTAATAAATCTGCCACTAATTTTACTAGTTTACTAGTTTTTTTCCTTATCGCAAAATATTTGACCCGTATATTATTATTTTGTCATTAGGGTGACCATTTTCATGTAAGGGTGGTTCGAAAATTCGATTTTCTTCAAAAATGCCTTTTTTCAAATATTAATTACTTTTGAACCACTGGGCCGATTTCAAAGATCTAAATTTCAAATGAATGGTTTTTAAAAATACTTTTTAATGCAGGCATAATGTTATTTTATTTTGTTTATGTATGATAAAAAATATATTTTGTATTTAAAAACATTGATTGAATTTGTTTTTTTTTTTAAATGGTTTTCATGGTTTGTATATAGAGGCCGCAATACGTTTTTATGTTTTTCCATGAAAATTTAGATTTTTTTTTTTACAGCTATGTGTTTTTTTTTTGTTTTTGAGTTATATTTTTTTGATGTTGTGAAGTTTTGGGTTTTCGCTCAATACTTCTTTGCGACTAGACTACCATTATTTATTATTCGTTAATGCTGGATTGACCATATCATAGGAATCCAGTGGTATCCGTACTATAGGAATCCGTACTATAGGAATCTTGACTGTATATCGATTCAGATTATGCTGCTTAACATGCGACCGAAAAAAACAAAGATGAACAGTTGCCGAAGGAGAAAGTGATTATATATAACGCGGAGTCGAATTCGAACCAAGTCAGCAAAGAACTTGTCACGAAACCATCACAAGAGTCTGTAGAATAGACACCGGTGAAGACGTGTTTCTTTTGTTGTCAAGTTGCTCATCGGATTGCGGATTGTGCTTCGATCAAACGATTTGACGGTGATGGTAGTCCAAACGGGAGTGCGGATTCGAAATTTGTAGGCTACCCATACGCATGCGGCTCCAAAGTCATTTTACAAAAGATCAAAATATAAATTCCTGATATTTTATGGCTTCTTGGTGTTTCTTAAACTTGCATATTTACAGAAATACTTCAATTTTGGCTTGAAAGTTATAAGCAGGCTCATTTAGCTGAACTTATAGACTGAACCTTAAAGGTATAAGATTTGTATGTTGAATTATTAGACTTCTGATTTACTTAAAATTGTGAAACAAGTTTATGGTGATGATTGTTTATCCCGTAGCAGAGTCCACGAGTGATTTTAATTCTTCAAGAATGGTCATGAAGACTTAAACGATGACGAACATGTTGGCCAACCGAAATTCGTAATTTCCAAAAATTGCTGAAAATTCAACATTCGAAAGACATCATTAAGGAGGCAAGAAAGGACAAAAACTTCTTGTACAGCATTGTGACGGGCGACGAAACGTGGTGTTTTAAATATGATCCAGAAGCCGATCGTTAAAATGCCGAGTGGAAGTCTGTTTGTTTCTACGATTCGAAGGGATTATTCACAAAGAGTTCGTTCAAGCTGGCCGAACGGTTAATGCTGTATTCTACCTTGATGTTTTGAAGTATTTGATGCATCGTATTCGGCGTATTCGGCCCAAATACCACGAAGAAGGATGTTGGCGCTTGTTGCACGATAATGCTCCTACGTATCTGTCGACACTTGTGACATCCAAAAGGCTTGTACCACTATCCTGAAGGACATCCCTATCGAGGCCATAAAACACTCGTTTGATATGCTTTTAGGTCGTGCAAATCGTTGTATTGGGTCCGAAGGGGACTATTTTGAAATACCTTGTATCTAACTTTTTTCTTTCGGTGAACGGATATCGGATAATGACAAATGAATGAACCGGAATTTTTAAACTACAACACAGAGGCCAATCACATTAATTTTCAACTATACAGGCCAGCTAATTCCCATATAATTCTCTGTCTACGGTGCTGCAGGTTTTGCGATAAATCTCTATGGGAAGACCATCGAAACTTTTACAAACCGCAATTAATTTCAAATCACTATCGAAAATCCCACGCCGGGTTCCCGGTGCTTCATAGCACGTGAAATCAATCTGCCGGCTTTTCCATGGGATTTCATTATCATCCTCCGATGAGCTTGGAAAGCTAACTTTCTTTATATTTAATCATCTGCTGTTTCTATCCCTTGTCATTGATTTTCCTTTTCTTTTTTGTAGGACTGAAGAAAATCGTCTGGCCTCTGTTGTTCGGTCTACAGGTCGTGAAAACTGTCCTTCTAGTGCTTTTCCTGCCTAGCATCATAGGATCGTTTGGTAAAATCCTCGGCAAAGGTAATGAAACCGTAAGCGCAGGGATAGCTTAAATGGCGTGCCATTTTGCTCGACGCTCGTCGAGGGTCGTAACAATCTAATTTGTCCTCAGGGGCCGACCAAAAAGACGACGCCGACGACGGCGATGTGGATCAGACAGGGTATTAATTTGAGTTGGTTTATGACTTTTTCGATTTTTGTAGGCCTATCTTCGGTGTCTGTCCTGTCGAATCAGCCAACGACGGTGGAGGACTTGGACTTTAAGGATAATTCCTACAACTCGGATCAGGACTTCCACATGAACATGGAAAACAATGCCTATTTGCCACCATTGGGTACGGTTCTGCAGTTTTATAGATTTTCCTAGGATCAAAATCATGTCCTTCATTGTGTGTGTGTTTTTTTAGATGCCCAACCGGCCGGGACGAGCTACAACCTGATGTACGATGCCAACAATGCCAATGCAGCCCTGTCCAGGTTGGGCTTCGGAGGAGGGCGTGTGACTTATGTCAACTCCGGTAATGACTACAACCGGCAGCAGAAGCGAAATGATTTCAAAATTTTCCACGACATCCCGAGCAGTAGTTTGCTGCTGACAAACTACGACCCGTTCTACAGTCCGCTGTTGTCGAGGTTGGATGCGGTGTTTGCCCAGATGGGCCTGTCCAGTAAGGAGGAACCGTGTCGGGAGAAGCTGATCTGCCTCATGTACGCCAATCCGGCCAAGTACGCACCTTATAGTAATCTGATATCGGCGCAGCTGAGCAGGTGAGCTTGTTTGGTTTAGTTCTGTTATGAGTGGGTGAAATGCTTTGCACTTCGAGGGATGGATTGATTTTGGTGATCCATTGTTGACGCTTGGTTCGATTGTTGACATCATTCCTTGTGGTGGTGTACTAAAACTGTTTGATGAAGACCAAACGGAAAAAGGTGTATCGGATAAAATTACGGGATTTTTCCACGGTAAATTGTATTGTTTTAAAGGTGCTTTAATGATTGAAATTGATTTTTTATGTTGACGTTTTGCTACTAAATATGCCAAATTCCAAATTATTTATAAAGGGCTAGATAAGATTTTAAATTTATCATAAAGTTCCTTTTTGTTGTGGAACGTTCATTGTTCCTTAAAGCTTGCTTCGTATTAGATTATCTGGGATTAGATAAATGGAAGGCCAAGGTCATTGCATCCATGTAATTTTTCCATGAGTTTACGGAAATGATGTACAATAGGCTGTCCCATTAATCAGAAATGGTCTCAATTTTTTGCTCCCCACTCATAATTCGCTTTCTGTATGCCATCATCTATGCCATGGCTCGATGGGGCCATTCAATAATCACGTAAGAACTTAGGAGGGAGGGTCTCGTTTTCTTTCACGGGAGGGAGGGGGTCTTAGAAATATCTTACGTAAGCATGAATATGCCCATTCAAATATTAGATGTAAGATATTACAAAGGGGGAGGGGAGTTTTGAAGGTTCCAAAAAAATGCCTCCATTATTATTGCAAGACCCCTATGCAGAAAATCAGCTCATTTTCTCAACATAGAACCTGGCCCAAAGCACTTTTGTGAAAATATTTTTCAAAGACCTTGCAGAAGGTCTATGGAATAGCTTCTCTAAAAGCGTTCGTTATGAATATAGCCGAATATTACACTAAGTGTAGAGAGTCTAGGAGAGTTTAAGACTTCGGTGAAGTTAATCAGTAACTGTTTTGGAAAATCTTGGTGGTCCTGAAAAAGGATGTTGGTAGTACAGGCTTGCAGCCTTTGGAAGATGATGATAACGTGTAGGCAACTGGATCAGCAAATCCCATATATTTCGGTTCAATGATTGAGCACCCGAAAGAGTCTCGGCCCGTGTGCTGCTGGACAGGGGTTGAACTGGTGTCTGGAACAGGTTGAAAGACCGCAGAATATCAGTGTCCAGCCAGCTAAAGCTCTTTCCCTTTTTAGTTTTTTCTCGTTAAACTCCTTCTCTCAACAAGTTGGTAGATCTTAGCCTTTAGCAGAAAGACGCTTAACACTTTTTTCTGCGAATTTATGATCCTGTTTCACGTCATTTTTTTTTTTAAATCTTTATTTGTTTCAAATTCAAAATAAATTACATTTCATTTTAACCTAGATGCTCCAGTTACTACAGTAACTTACCAGCCTTAATTGTTATGATATATATCTTAGTATTTTTACATTGTTTCTGTCTTGGCAATTCAGTGTTTAAACAGGTTTTTTTATACCTGCAATTGATATCTTAAAACTAAAAACTACAATTAAATCTTATCTAAGTATAAATAGAATTAATCGTTGCAATTGAGGATTGCAACGATTTTTGCCTGAAATTATTAATTATTTTGTTGGACGTTTGTTCTAAAGTCTCAATATTCGAAATTCTATGTATCTCGGTAGTCAGGGTAGTATCAGAGAGGCAACTTCAAAATCATCTTCAGAATTTTGTTCTGAATCCTTTGAAGTGCCTTTTTTTCCTGGTAGTGCAACAACAAGACCATATTGGCACAGCGTAAAGCATGGCCGGTCTAAAAACTTGTTTAAATATTAGAAGTTTAATTGTCAGGCAAAGATTGGATTTCCTGTTTATAAGAGGATGCAAACATTTTATATATTTGTTACATTTGGCTTGAATGCCCTCAATGTGATCTTTAAACAGTTAATTTTTGGTTGAGTACCAATCCAAGATATTTGACTTGGTTTGACCAGGAAATTGGAACTCCGTTCATAGTGACTATGTGACTACTACTAGGTTTCAAAAAGGAAGCTCTAGGCTTATGTGGAAATATTATAAGTTGAAATCTTCCATTTTTGTTAATAAGAAGAGAAAATATCTAAACTTTTCTGCAGTCTGCTGCAAATAACACGAAGACTTCTTCCTTTAGCGGAAATGCATGTGTCATCAGCGAACAAAGATTTGTGGCAACCCTGAGGCAAATCAGGGAGGTCCGAAGTGAAAATGTTATACAATATAGGCCCAAGAATGCTACCCTGAGGAACTCCTGCACTAACAGGTAGTCGATTGGATTTGGAATTTTGGTAATTTACCTGCAGAGTTCTGTCAGTTAAATAATTCTGAACTAATTTCATAATGTAAAGTGGAAAATTAAACTTTTTCAATTTAGCAATCAAACCTTCATGCCAAACACTGTCGAATGCTTTTTCTATGTCTAGAAGAGCAACTCCAGTTGAGTGGCTTTCAGATTTGTTTGAACGAATTAAATTGGTAACTCTTAAGAGTTGATGAGTAGTTGAATGCCCATGGCGAAATTCAAACTGCTCATCTGCAAAAATTGAGTTCGTTTTGATGTGAAGCATCATTCTTTTCAAAAAGTTTACTTATTGAAGAAAGCAAACTTATTGGGCGGTAGCTAGAAGCTTCAGTTGGATTTTTATCCGGTTTCAAAATTGGAACAACTTTTGCATTTTTCCATTTATCAGGAAAGTATGCCAAATGGAAACATCTGTTTAATAATTTTACCAAGAAAGACAATATACTCTCTGGGAGTTTTTTGATGAGGATATAGAAAATTCCATCATCACCTGGAGCTTTCATATTTTGAAATTTTTTAGTTATAGACCTTACTTCGTCCAAATCAGTCCCCTAGGAATCATCAAAAATATTTTCCCGAGAGAAAATATTCAGATAATCCCGAGCAACCTGATTCTCAATAGGACTAGTAAGACCCAAACTGAAATTATGGGAACTCTCGAATTGCTTAGCCAGTTTCTGAGCTTTTTCCAAATTTGTGATCAAAATTTTACCACTTTCTTTAAGCGCTGGAATTGGCTTTTGAGGTTTTTTTTCAAAATTTTTGTGAGTTTCCAAAAGGGTTTGAAACTCTAGTCTAATTTAGAAACATTATTTTCAAAAGTTTTGTTCCTCAGGGCAGAGAATCGCTTTTCAATTTGTTTTTGTAAATCCCGCCAGATAACTTTCATGGCAGGATCGCGTGTTCTTCGATATTGTCTCCTACGGACATTTTTAAGACGGATCAAGAGCTGAAGATCGTCGTCTATTGTAATTGAATCGAATTTAACCTCGCATTTTGGTATTGAGGCAGCTCTTGCTTCAACTATAGAAGTAGTCAGAGATTCAAGAGCATAATTAATTTCATCTTTGGTTTGCAAAGGAATGTTTGGATCTAAGTTATATTCCATAAATGTTCGATACTGCTCCCAATCAGCTCTATGGTAATTGAAAGTAGAGCTGTTGGGATTAGAAATTATTTCTTGGGATATTTCAAAAGTTACTGGAAGGTGATCAGAACCGAAGTCAGCTTTCGGAGACGAGCCAGCCAACGGCTGAAAGTCTCCTTAATAAAGATATAAAAAAACCGAAGTCAGCATCGGTAACCAATTGGCTACAAAGTTGACATGAATCAGTTAAGACCAAATCAATAGTTGAGGGATTTCTTGCAGAAAAAAAAGCATGTTGGGCTGTTTGAATATTGAATAGTGTAATAACCTGCAGAACAATCATCAAACAGAATATTACCATTGGAATTGCTTTGAGCGTTATTCCATGAGCGGTGTTTTGCATTAAAATCACCAATAATGAAGAATTTAGACCTATGACGGGTAAGTTTCTGGAGGTCACCCTTGAGAAAATTTTTTTGCTGGCCTACGCATTGGAATGGTAAATAGGCAGCTATAAACGTAAGTTGTCCAAATTTTGTTTCAACAGAAACTCCCAAAGTTTCAAAAACTTTGGTTTCAAATGAAGAAAGAATTTTATGTTTGATTCGTCTATGAACAATGATAGCAACGCCACCACAGGGTCCATCAAGACGATCATTTCTATAAATTAAATAATTTGAGTCCTTCTTAACCTTATGGTCAGGTTTTAGGAACGTTTCAGTTATAACGGCAATATGCACGTTATGAACTCTCAAAATGTTAAATAGCTCGTCTTCATTATCTTTAAGAAATCGAGCATTCCAATTTAAAATATTTAAAGCTTACTGAATTTTAAAGTCATGGCAATATTATTAGCAAATTTTACTCCAGTTTAGATAGCATCAAACATGAAGTTAGATTTAAGCATATCAGAAATCATGTCAATTAATGAATTCTGTAAAAATTCCATTTTAGGGGCAGTAATGCTTCTTAAGTCAAAATTGTCAAAATTTCCGTTAGAACGTTGGTTAGTATTTTGATTTCTACACGTTGCAATAGCAGCATAGGTAGCTCCATTAACTAGCTGAACATTGTTAGCAGAGAGAGGAGTAGATACAGATGAAACATTTGAAGCAGGGGTGATATTTGTACCTACGGGTACGAATGTAGAATTTGTTCCTCGATGACCGTTGTTAACAGCAGTGGAATTTGTACCTGGTCGGAAACGTGAAGCGTTTACTACCTGACGGTAAGAACGAGATTGTAGGATCGCTTTGCAAGTCTTACATTTCCAAAAATTGGATTTGTGGTTTTCACCACAATTTGAACATTTAATTTTTTTAGGATCTTCCTTCACAGGACAGTCGTCCTTTGCGTGAGAGGAATCACCACAATTCATGCATTTAGCTGGCAGGTAGCAATTTTCAGTTCCGTGACACCATCCCTGGCACTTACGGCACTGAGTGAGGTTTTGGAAATTTCCTCCAGTCTTCCTGAAGTGTTCCCACTTCACTCGGACATGGAGCATAAGGCTAGCTTTTTCTAAGGCCTTAAGGTTGTTTAGTTCATTAGACTTGAAGTGAACTAAATAAAAATCATTAGAAATCCCGTTGAGCGAATCGCCAGGACGGGATTTCATTTTCATTTTG